CTGCGCGCAGCTGATCCACAGACCCGGCGGAACTGCGCCCCCGGCCCGCGACACACAGCCCTTGTTCAGACTGTTACTGGGTTCATGCGAGCGCTGAGTGCTGGCGCGCAGGCACAACCCCTAAATGAAACGCTTTGCCATATAGATTGCGTTGTGCTTTGACTTTTCAACGCCGGCTTCTCAGCTCCTACGTAAACGTTTCGCAAATATAATCATCATTCGGCTTTCACCGCCGCCTCCTACAAAGAATCTCTCTTGGGCCGGTTGGCGGCATTTTTGGGATTCGAGGCAGCCAACCACGCCCGTTGCCGCGAGAGTTGGCGGCGGCCGTGGTCGGCCGTTGCCTTGAGAGCCATACAGCGCTCTCCCACGCGAACCTGCTGGTCACTCACCTGCTGTGTGTGTCGGCAGGGGCCCGAGAGAGGTGGCCGCGAAAGGTGGTGTTACCGTAGACTGAAAAGGCTGCGGGCTCGATTCTGGTGGCTCGTGTTGAAAATCGTGAAAAGGGCACCAGCCTTTAACTATAGTTAAAGGCTGTACCTAGGTATATAGCTTACCTATTTTTCTCCTAATGCCGACATCAACCCATAATCACCGTAAGTCTTCACTATATAAGCGTAGTATGACTCAGTCGTCACTCGTCACGTCACAGGCATAACTACCTTCACCGTTGCCGTCAGCATCACTGGCTGTCATGTTTAGGGAAAAACCACGACCACCACCGCTGCTGTCGCTCCGTCGAGCGAGTAGACTAGGGTCACCGCCGTGCCGCCCGAGGCGAACGGTCGAGCAAACCGGGTCACATGCGGGCGGTTCGACAGTGGGTCGGGTCGGTGCCCCACTGCGGGCGCCAGGTGCGCCGACAACGCCGCCGCGCCGGCTGCCGCGCAACGCTCGTCGCCACCATTGCTGCGGACCGGCGGAGCGAGGAAAGCGGCATCTTGAGACGAGGAGCGGCACGGCGCGACAGTGGTGACAGATGTGGCGCAGTGGGTGGGCGGAGCTGACGCACTGGAGGCGACACATGGCGCGCATGCGCTTCTAGTGAGTTGCATTGGTGTTTGTTCAGTTTCTCGGGTTTTCCTTCCTTTCTAACACCGGTTTGTCGAGCGTCGTCTCGCACCGCCGCGCTTTCATCTGAAAGCCAGAAGGGCGGTTGACAGGCGCAAATGGCTCGTGGTTCGGTTGATATGTTCGCCAATATATTGCTAAAATGGTGCAGGTTTTGTGGGAAGTCTGATCAATATGCCCCAACCGATCGTATTCCGAGTCTGTTCATGCATGAAATAGCTTCGTATGTTACTGTATGTCCACTTCTCGCTGTTAGCTTCTTTTGAATGATCTTTGAGTGGGCGCCACCGTGCCGCCGAACTGCCGACGAGTGATGCCGTCCTGGCGCCCTAAAATCCTGGTTCACGTAAGGCATGCTGAGCCGTAGTTGGGCCACCCTACTGTTTTTGCAGCCATGAATCACGCCATTCTGGCATGCAGCAATGTCGAACAAACAATACCGGTCGCCATTTTTCCGCGACGTTTGCCATTTTTGCAGCTCCTCACATGCTTGCACCTACAATGCCGAGTAGGTAAAGAACTGAGCTCTCAATCTGTGGAGAGTTGTCACACAGCTCAGCACATGGGTGTAGGAGCGCCAAAAATATTGGTGAAGGATGCCACCTGAACCTTATGAAAAGGGATAGGACCGTGCCAACCAACACGCACAGTGCAAGCGGGGGGGGGGGGGGGGGCGAATTTCGCCAACCCCTTGTTTTTCGCAGATATCTTACGCCCTTATCATTAACGTCAAATTTTCAATGCCTGCCTAAAATTGAATTGTGCATCTTGCCATGACAGCAAGATGTAAATCAGGGCCTCGGCTAAGGAATTTTGACTACTGGGGCAAATGGTCAAAGTGTGTTAACCCGCGCCCTGCTGGGAGGGGGGGGGGGTTGAACACCCACCACCCACCACCCCTGCGGTTTTTCGCGGATATCTGAAAAACGGCGGCACCTTATCATCTATCAATTTTATACATTTTGTGAAAATTTCAGACCAGGGTCCTTCAAGGCAGGGCTGCGGAGTCGATGGATTTTCGGCGACTCCGACTCCGACTCCGGCTTTCAAAAACCAGCTCCGACTCCGACTCCGACTCCGGGCAGAATTGTCGACTCCGACCGACTCCAACTCCCGACTCCTACTCCGCAGACCGCAGGGCTGCGGAGTCGACAGATTTTCGGTGACTCCGACTCCGACTCCGGCTCGGGTTTCTAAAATCGACTCCGACTCCGACTCCGACTCCGGTCACAACTGTCGACTCCGACCGACTCCGACTCCGACTCCGACTCCGACTCCGACTCCGACTCCGCAGCCCTGCTTCAAGGTCAGGTCACCAGGTCGCTACAAGTGACCTCACCTCATAAACACATCATAAAATGTTTCAATGTATGCCATAGCTACACCAAGTGACGGATCGCTTTGAAGCTTTCAGCAATTGATAAGTGCAACAGTATGTACAAAATTCGGAATTTTCATATCGGTGACCTAAGGTCGGGTCAATTTTGCGACCTCTCTAGGTATTATAAGTCAATGGGAGAAAATTCAAAACCGTCTTTTTCGGACGAAAGTCATTCTAAACACTCTCAAACACTATATTACAAGTAACTTTGACACACTGAACATGAAAACGGCACCCGTGACCCCTGTTTATGCCCCTAAGGTCATCTCAGGTCACGAATGGTATCTAACAGTTTTTTGCGACTAACTTTTGAAAGAGGCATGCTAGAGCGATGAAAACGCCTCATACATATATGTTCAGCTCGACGATACAGATCCACTAATATGCAACATGACAATGTCCGGTCAAATCATGACCTTGACCAGAGGTCAAATTTTTAAGTTGAACTTTCAATGTCAAATTATAGTTCATTCGATGCGTCTTGACAAGAGGAACACGATGTCGGTAAAAGAAAGCTCGTGTGCAAGGCTTGAGTCAAAAGTTATTGCAGAAAAACTGTTCCCGAAAAATCGTCTATTTTGGCAGTTTTTGCCCCCTGCAGGCAAAACCGTTGACGTTAGGTCAATTCTGAGAGAATTACTCAGAAAGGGCCTTAATAGGGCTATCGAATGCGCTTTTCCGCGGCGCTGTAGCTCTATTGGTTCCCGAGTTATGCGTTGGCTTCTTGGAAATTGTCGACATTCGACCTGGAAATCGGCGAAATTTTGCCTTCAATGACCTCTGGTGACCTGACCTTTGACCTGACCAAAAAAGTGACCGAAGTGATTTCGTCATTATTTTTGGTGCTCTTTCGAACGCCGCCTTCCGCGTATCGCTACGTGGCTCAGGAGCCGAGTTAGAACGGGGATGTGTGTGTGTTCAAACACCCCCCCCCCCCAGCAGGGCGTGGAAATCCAGGACCCCCAGCCGGGCGCGGGTTAAAAAAAACAGACATTTGATAAACCGTCGAATCCAGTAGTTCTAAGCATAGGTAGGTGAAGACCCTCCCTTGCATTGTCCAAGATTGGTGAAGGATCCTTCACCAATCTGAAACTTTGGTGAAAGGTATCCTTCACCAAAGAGATACGTTGCTACACCTATGGGCCTCAGCAAACTTAGTTTAATTTTTTATTTGCTTGAAATAAATGCCCAAAACACTACATTAACTTTAAAATAATTTAGGGTGACGCAGGACTTATGATTCGTCCGTGCGACAAATGGGTGACATTGGCCGATATAGTACTTACATATCTGGGTTAACCCGCGAGTTGCTGGGGGGGGGGGGCGTTAAACGCCCCCACTTTTTTCGCCGGGCCATAGCATAAAAACGGCGCGCCGCAGGCGCGCCAAATTTTTGGTACCTGTTTGGAATTGATTGAAGTTTATTGTGACAAAGTTTCAAAAAAATCGGTCGGAAAATTTTTGAGATATCGAGGTTTTAGTGACGTCATGATTTCTGACTTTTCGACCAAAAACGGCATATGTTCAAAAAATCATATAAAATCACAGAATAGACATACAGACATGCCGTAAACGCCATTAGACTGCCAATGCCATGATCAATCAAATGGCTATCTTCGATTATTGATTGTCGTTCCGCATTTTCCAAAATCTTGAACTGAATCTTGGCAATTTTTCGTGACTTCTTCACGACCATGATACATGAATTTCTTAAATTGAACTTTTTGAGCCAAACACGTACACATATGATAAAATGAATGTCACCATCGTGTTCTGCGCCCCAAATTACCTATAAAACATGTGTCACAGGCTGCGAATATCAGTTTTGATTTTCGGGGATATGTGCCTACCCGGTTGACCTGACCTTGACCCTGCCTATGCTTGACTGACCCCTATATGAAGCTGACACTCTTGTAGGCCTTATAAGATGGATTGTGCACCGTTTTGACAGAGTTTATGGCGAGAGGCGCCCATTGCGAAGTCCTGAAGTCCATGCTACTGAAAGCCCGATTTCAGGTGTTTGACCTGACCTTGACCCGACCTGTGACCTCAAAATTCAACTTTAAAGTACTCATCTGAAGCGTCTCGTCGCGCTCTTTCGTTTGCCGCCTCGTGCGTTTCGCTGCGCCTATTGGTTCTCGAGTTATCGGCTGGGGGCGTTTAACGCCCCCCCCCCCAGCAAACGGTGGGTGGCGAAATACCCCAGCAACTGCCGGGTTAATGAGTCATGCTATGCCTTGAGAGTGTTTGTTTGGTTGGCATTTGCGAGCCAGCTCGCGAACACGGTTCGGTATAAACACAAAATCCACTCTCCAAACATATTGCCGATTTAAATAAAGGCTTATTTCATAAATGATTTTGATATTTGTATAAATCATCACGAGCTGTTTCCATTTTCCAATGAATTTCACGAACCGAACATGGACAACTGTTTGTCTCCGGAAGCACTCATAAAATTAAAATGACGATCGATAATCTCCCACTTCCCACCAGCAGCAGCAGCTTATCACCTACCATCTCTCACAGCGTTATTTCCGTGTGTTTGCAGTGGCCACCGCCGATCTGATGGAGTTTTACGCCAACGAAATCGTGGAGGACCTGGCGCACCGACCGTACGTGGAGCTCGGCCTCCACTCCGACTCCGACTCGGAGCTCGCCAACGCCTACTCGGGCCTGGAGACCATCATGGAGGAGACCTCAGGTCAGTGTCCGTTGGGTCTGGAGGAGACCTCAGGTCAGTGTCCGGTGGGACTAAAGAGGACCTCAGGTCAGTGTCTGCTGGAACTTGGGCAGAGCTCAGGTCAGTGACTGCTGGGACTAAAGAAGACCTCAGGTCAATAGAGGTTTCTTCAGGTCACTGTCCGGCGGGCCTGAAGGAGAGCTCAGGCTAGTGTGTGGTTGGTCGGGAAGAGACCTCAGGTCAGTGTTGGGGAGCCCGGAGGAGACCTCAGGTCAGTGCCCCGCGCAGGGCGACTATAAACTGCTTCACTTTTGACCCCACTACAATCTACGTAGGTATCTCCTGAGATGTGGTAATAAAAGCGCACGGGGACATTTTCAGACTCGAGGTCCATGGCTCAAGGTCCATGGCTTGACATGGCCATAAAATGTGTTTTATTCAAACTGATATGCAAATAGATTTTACAGGGGCGGTCGCAGACTTGGAGTTTGGGGGGGGGCCAACTTGGCAAAGGGGCCCCTGCGCTGACCCGGGGGGCCCGGTGCTAGCTTAAAGGGGCCCACGGGCGTAGCACGGGTGCAGAAATCTAGGCCATGGCCGGTGAAGCGGGGGGGGGGGGGGGGGGGTAGGGTGCGGCACCCGAGCGGAGGCTCATTGAGAGCTTTGAGGGTGCACCATGTCGAAAAGGTACCGAAAAGGGCATTTTGAAGCATTGATTATGTCAATAATTCACGCAACTGTGAATGGACTACCGCAAAAGTAAAAGCGGCTAACTTTGCCATTTTCTTTGCAAAAAAAGCTTAGCCATTTTTTAAGATCATCGTGCTAAAGCTTTTAACAGTGGGTCATCGGTATCTGTTCACTGTTCAATCGGTCGGAGAGGCCATCGTAACCAAGCGTTCTCTATCACATGTGTTCCGACTTCCGTTTAATCTTTTTTTTTTAATTGAGCACAAATGCAAATTTTGAAGACCATTACAGTAGCAAATGCTTCGAAAGACGGATAGTGGGCAAAATGTCCTAAATTTGTCGTGCTGCATGGAAAGTAGTGTTGCTGAGGAAAGGGGTTTTGTTCCAGATTGTTGTGGATGCAGAATACATTGTCTGCACTCACTGCAGAATTATTGTTGGTGCAACTGCGCCCACTGCACCCATGGTTCCTACACTTATGGGCCCATCGATAGCGCTTCGGCGATACCTATCGCCTAGAGGCTGCAATGGGGCCCTTAGAGTACGGTGTCAGACCCCCAGAGGCCGGCGTTGGACCCAAGGGTCAGCGGAGGGCCTCAAAGGCCCCAGGTAGGGCCCCAGAGGCTAATGTGGGCCTTCATAAGCAAGTGCGTGACGCCCAAAGGTAAGGCTTGAGCCCCCCAGAGAACATAATAGGGCCATCAGTGGCCGGTGTAGAGACCTCATAGGCCAGTTTGCGGGCCCCTCAGAGGCTAGTGTGGGGCCTCAGGTGTCGCTATGAGGCACTTAAAGACCGGTATGGGTCCTCAGAAGCCGGCATCGATCCTTCAGAAGCCAGTACGGGGCCCTCAGAGGCACATAAGGGCAGTTTCGGTCCCAGAGACAGAAATGGGACCATCAGAGGCCGGTGTGGGTCGTGGGACCTTTAGAGGCTGGTTTGGGCTCTTAGGGGCCAGTTTAGAGCCCTCAGAGACCAGTACAGGGCCTGCAAAGGGCAGTTAGTTTGAGACCATCAGAGACCGAATTGGGCACTCAGAGGCTAATATGGGTCCTTATCAGGCCAACATGGGGCCCTCAGAAGTCAGCGTGGGGCTCTAAAAGACCGACATGGGCCGGCGTTGGACCCCAGAGGCCAGAAGAGGGCCCTCAAAGGCCAAGATGGGCCCTCAGACTAGGCCGATGCGGGCCCTTAGAGGCCGGCATCAGGTCTTCAGAAGCCCGTGCGGGGCCCTCAGAGGCTAAGGTGGGTCCTTACAGGCCAGCACGGGCCCTCAGAGGTCAGGCCAAGATGGGCCCTCAGACTAGGCCGATGCGGGCCCTTAGAGGCCGGCATCAGGTCTTCAGAAGCCCGTGCGGGGCCCTCAGAGGCTAAGGTGGGTCCTTACAGGCCAGCACGGGCCCTCAGAGGTCAGTGTGGGGCCCTAAAAGACCGGCATGGGCCGGCGTTGGACCCCAGAGGCCAACAGAAGGCCCTCAAAGGCCAAGATGGGCCCGCAGAAGCCGATGCTGACCCTTAGAAGCCTCAGAATCCAGTATAGGGGGCTCTCGGAGGCTAACATGGGCCCTTACAGGCCAGCATGGGGCCCTCAAAGATCAGAATGGGACCCTAAAAGACTGGCATTGGCCGGCGTTGGACCCCAGAGGCCAGCAGAGGGCCCTCAAAGGCCAAGATGGGCCTTCAGAGGCCGATGCGGACCCTTAGAGGCCGGCATCGGGTCTTCAGAATCCAGTGTGGGGCCCATAGAGGCTAATGTGTATCCTTACAGGCCAGCATGGGCCCTCAGAGGTCAGTGTGGGGCCCTAAAAGACCGGCATGGGTGGACCCCAGAGGCCAGCGGAGGGCCCTCAAAGGCCAAGATGGGCCCTCAGACGCCGATGCGGGCCCTGAGCGGCCGGCATTGGGTCATCAGAATCCAGTGCGGGGGGCCCTCAGAGGCTAACGTGGGTCCTTACAGGCCAGCATGGGCCCTTAGAGGTCAGTGTGGGGCCCTAAAAGGCTGGCATGGGCCGGCGTTGGACCCCAGAGACCAGCGGAGGGCCCTCAAAGGCCAAGATGGGCCCCCAGAGGCCGATGCTGGCTCGACGTAGGGTCTTCAGAATCCAGTGCGGGGCCCTCAGAGACACTTAAAGGCTAGTCTTGGGACTCGAGAGACGGAAATGAGGCCACCAGAGGCGGGTGTGAGGCTCTCAGACGCCGGTTGGGCCCCTGAGGCCGGTTTAGGGGCCCTCAAAGGCCAGTGGAGGGCCCTCAGAGGTCAATACGGGTCCTCAGCGGTCAATGCGGACGCTTGACCGCCACTGAAGGGCCCTCAGAGGTCAGTGTAGGACCTTCAAAGACTGGTATGGGAGCTGTTAATAGCTGGCGTGGGTTTCTCGAGCCTCGTGACAATCGAATACGGGCCAGGGCCCCATACGGCCATGGGGGCCCATCGGCTGTTTGGGGGGGGGGGGCCAAATGATATGATGGCCCCCCTGATTTGCCTTTGGGGGGGGCCATGGCCCTGATGCCCCCCCCCCTGCGACCGCCACTGGATTTGTATCAAATCACTTATAAACATTTATGTGTAAAATTTCTCTCATGAACGGATCAAATGGTATCGCTGAATAGTTCGTGCGGATTATGTTAGGAATAGGCAATTCTATTTGGATTGGCTGGTTCCGGCAGCTGATTAAATTTGCGAAAAATATAATAAACGGTGCAGCTGCACGACTGGCGTTCGTGAGTGGATAATGGAAGCGGTTCACTGGGAAACGAGAGTGTGGGAGAGTGTGGGACATAAACTGGCCTTGTTCAATCAGTGATTTTCCACCTCTCCATTCAGACGAATAGCGTGTGAACGGCTCTGTATGGGTGTGCCCTTTTCAGAGGTGTTGCTAAAAAGTTAACGACTTTCCCATGAATTCTAGCCCTCGGTACGCCTAATTTCAGTAGCATTTTAATCGCCCGATATTAACCTCGCATTGAACTATTCTTTGTCATAAATTTTTATTTAAATCGCAAAAAATATTGAGTCGTTTCCGGCCATCGAGTGTTTGAAAACATTCGTGTGAGTTCCTCTAAACGTCCCTACTATTTGTTATCATTAGGTAAATGCTTTAAGGGATGAATTAATGTTTAACGCCTTAATGCATGTAGTCTTTGTGAAGTTAAGTTGGACTGTGGACAATCCATACATTTTGTATTAGGATATAATGCCGTTTCGTTCTCGGGGTCATTGACTGTCTAATGCCCGAACAGGCTGAGGTGTTAAGATAAAAGAATCGCTGGCACAATGGATGACGTGTGAAGCGACGTCATACTTGTTAACGATTTCTCGGAGATTAAGTGAGAATTCATGGATCTGTTTTGCCCAAAGCCTTCAGTGCCAGCCATAGGCCACGTCCCAGTTTCTCCGGGAACTGGAAACATTCAATTCACACCAGCGTAGCTAGGCTTAGAAAAGATAATTTGGTACATGGCCACTCGCTATTAAGTTAAGTTCTGTAATTGTCACTCTTAGATATTTGTTCTGGGTGCAGCGTCTACTTTAAAGTCCTTAACCTATGATGCAAAGTTTCTTTTTTCCATGGTCGTCATCTAGGGACTAGGGTTCACTCATACTCGTATAAACGATTAACCATTCACAGCTAATCTGATCGCTCGTTGTACCGACTTGCTGCTGCACTTCTGATATCCATCCCATCTAACAAGTATTATATGACCGTGTCTGTTCCAGACGACATGCGCAGTGACACTGAGAGTATGCGCAGTGACACGGAAAACATGCGCAGCGGCCCCACCAGCTGGGCGTGGTCTCAGGACTCGGCCGATGTCGAGACGGTCATCGACGCTGGACGGGGCCGCGACTCGCGCTTTGAAGGTAGGCCGGCTCTCACAGTGGGAAAGGCTGGTGGGGCTTGTGGACAGCTCAAGCTGTGCTGTGAACCGTGTTGAAGGCACGCGTGAATTTCCACACTGGTTGTCACACCACACAATGTTTGGATAGAAGCACGCGGTCGATATTTCGGTATGTCGTGCTCGTGTGTTGTGATCGGTGATGTCTCAAACGGTCTCCAGTGTAGTCGAGGGCAGTGATGGCAAAAGGCTTGCAGAAGGGTTCGATTCTGTTTTCGTGACTCAGCGACAGTCAGTTGGCTGGTGACAAAGGCAGAAGGTGTGGCTATTTTATTTTAGCCGTCAGTTAGGTAATGCAGTATCTACTAATTACTACACTATTTTGTATAGGTACCTAATTGAGCTCCGCTTATGACTGCGAGGATGCCAAGCATCCATTCATGAAATATAAAATTACTTTTAGAACCTCTTTAAATCCTCAGAAAGCTCCAAAAACATTTTATCATTGACCTTTACCCGATCAGTTAACCGCCCAGGGCCCTCTGACCGTGAACTTGTAAACTTCGCCACTAGATGTCAGCAGTAGTAAACGCCTGAAGTTATGCTGTACCGCAAGTCACAATCGGAATGAATATAGTCATGCGCGATAACTCGACCTGTAATGTCTTTATGGAGGTTCTTACTTGGTGTCTGCAGTGACAATACTTGCCTGAATTTAGTATTTGGTGGTGAGTGGTAATTCTAAATGGCACGCTTTGCATATAATGATCCAATTCGGACGGATCTAAAATGCTGCATTTTGCATATTTCATTGAAAATGCAGCAGGGGGGACGGCGACCCGCTGCGTATAGTATAAATGTTGCCGTATTTATAATCTGTGCAGTTCAAATAGCGAAGTGACAGGAGTCATTTGAGCCGTACCATTTTCCAGCGGCTCCACTGACGACCTCCACTCCACGCTGCGCTTTCCTCGGTTCATGGACTCCCCGCTAACAAAGTTAATCGCCATCATAACAATGCTGCGGTTTTTGCGTTTGATCGATGGCCTTATTTATTAACCCGCAGTCGCATGGCCAATCAATTGTACTCATCACGTTCATGTCGATTGGTTCTGGTCCCGCCGCTGCTGGCCGTATTATTTGCTAGCTTTGTCCTTGCACCCAAATCGGTGTAGTCCAGCTAAGTTGGCATCGCATTTCTCACGGTCATAAATCGAGTACAAGGCAGTGGCAGCGGCTGGTGGTAGCGGCGGCGGCTGACCTCGCGGTCGCGGTCGAATCCCTCCCATTACGGGGCCGATCACCGCCAGTGCTACTGCGCTGACCTCGAGTCCGTCTGTATAACAGACGCGGAGCCAGCGATCACAACCGCCGCCGGCGTCACAGACTCGCCCGCGTCACAGCCCGAGTGCGACCGTGTTTAAACAGTGTTCACTGACACTCCCATGGGTGTGCTGTGTCGTCACTGCCCGGCGGCCAACCATGCGCCCAATCGCGGCAGTGCGGCTGAGCAGGTTACCGACCGGGTAACGGGAACAGATCGGTGGTACGATATAGACTCGGCTGTGCACCGGTTTATTTATAAATGAGAAGGTGTTTAAACAAGGTTAGGTTTGAACTGCTTTATGACGTGTAGCAACTATCACCATCCCTATCAGACTGTTATGGTATATAATTATGTCCCGTGTGTCAATTGGTAATTTTCAGCTTAATTATGTTAAAATAAGGTCAATGGTGATTCCATTTTCTTTCGCTAATCCTTTCCGTCAATCATATCCACCATAAACGGACGAATGTTACAGGTAAATACACTCATGTCGTCATGTAATAGAGGCTATTGTCTACCAAGCAACGGACATAAATTGTCATGAAAAGCATTGCGGTAGCGGGCATGGCCACCAACAGCATGACAAGGCGTTTCTCATTCGCTGTCGACCTCCATTAATTATTTTGGGTACGCCAATTTGACCGAGAAGCTCCACTTTACACAAGACACCGTAATGGCAAAACTGTGTCGTAAATAAGACCGAGCCGCGGAGTCCTCGCCACTGACAGAACCATTCCTCAGAGCGGCGTACACCGTGAACTGACACGCGTCCGTGCTCCGTTTCAGACGACTTCAACCCTCTGGAGCACATGGACGCGGCGGCGCTGGAAGGCACAGGTAAAATGTCAAGTGGTGTCTCGCTCCGCTCGACGAATTCCGACAAATACAGACAGCTGTTTGATTTCGAGGCGTTTCTGAACGGCGACCAGGTGCGGCGCGCGCCGTCGGCCGCCTCCCAGCCGCCGTCGATGGACCCGATATTCGCCACTAGCGCCACCCAGTACCCGTTCTCGGACTCTGTCCAGGCGGCGCCTCTGTCGCGGCCCACCGAGCCGCCGCCGCCGCCGCCGCCGTGCGCTGCCGACCACGGCTTCAGGCTGGGCCCGCTGCAGGGCTCGTGCCACTCGAACCCGTTCGCCAGCCTGCCGGAGCGGTCGGTGGAGGGTCCGCCCGAGCTGGTGTTTAGTCTGGAGGATGTTCTGGACCACCGGACACGACCGGGGCAGGAGCCTGGGAACGGCGGCCGGGCGCCGCCGCCGGCCGGTCATTTAACGACTGAGAGTGCTGCCGGCGGCGCCAAGGTCCTGGGAACCTCCTGTAACGGCGCGTCAGGGGTCAGCGGCGCGGCGCCGGACGGGAGCGGCTGCGGTAGCCGGCTCAGTAGCGCTCGGTCAGTGACGGGAACCGGAGGTGGCATCAGAAACGACCAGCCGGGCCAGCCACCGACAGCACCGGGCCACAGTGGACCCAAGTGGGACCTGGGCAGCTGTGAGGACTTTGAGAACCTGAACCGGCGCATCGAGTCGCTGACATTTGACTTTGAGGAGGAAGAGCGGCGCAGTCTCGAGTACATCGTCGACGGCGACGGCGGCTCGTCGGAGGGGAGCGACAGTCCGGCTGATTCGGGTCTCGGCGGAGGGTCACAGGCGCCGCGGCTGCGTGACTGCCGCATCAGACGCTTCCACAGCTTCGGCGACTTGAGCATGATCACGGAGGACGAGCTGCATGAAGGCGGCAGCGAGCACAGTCTGACGACCACGGACGCGGAGCGGTGGGCGCCGCCGGCCGAGCGGCCGCGTCGCCGGCGGGCCGGCCACCCGGGGCTCCTGAGACATTCGAGCGAAAATCTCAGTGAAGACTCGGGCTATGGCGACCACACGGGCGACCGTGTCAGCCCTCCGAACCCCTCCGGACGCTCGACCGGCCTTCTACAGCGCAGCCCGCCCCCGTCCACCGGCTCGGCCGCCGCCGCCGGCTCCCACCGCAGCCCGCTGGGACGGCTGTCCAAGTCGACCTCTGACCTGAGTCCGGGGTCACAGCGGCGCCGGCGCCTGCTGGAACTGATCTCACGCGACGAGCAGCGCCGGGCGCGGCTATACAGCGACGCGCCCCGCTCGGACGCCCGCCTATCGCCGCCGAGACTGGCCGACGCCCCGCCCCCCGTCGACAGCGATGAGGGCGAGACGCCGTCGTCGACAGGGGACGGGGACGGCGGATACGCGGCGTTAGAAGGCGACGGCGGCGCCAGAGACAGCCCGACAGAGGTGGAGAGCGTGCTCGTGCTGCTGGAAAACGAAGAAAGCAACTCTGTGATTCAGGTGCTGCGTGAGAAAGTGGCACGCGCGCGGGCACTGGACAGCATGGCCTCGGCGCCGGTGCCGGCACCCCGCTCCACCGTGGCACGCGCCCCAGCTGTCTATCAGAACGTGCCGACCAACGCGCGCGGCCGCCGTGCCACCGCACCCGCTCGGCACTCGAGTGAGACGGCGCCGCTGGACCGACGCGTCAAACGAGACATAGAACAGTTCGAGCGTATCAAAGAGGCGTTTCTCGAGAAAGGTACGTACAATGTGCACGCTGATATGGCTCAGCGCTCACAGCCGGCGCAGGCGGCGGACGGTCGCTCAGCGGCCGACCTGAGCTCGGACCGGCCGGCCGATGGAGGTCGAACCGACGACCCCCTCCCCACCGACGCGGCGCGATCATCGACGGATACCGGCGGGGCGACCGGGCGCGCTGGTGTCAACAAAGGGGCCGCTGAAATGGGACACGACCCGGGCGGTAACCAAGGTCACCAGCCGAGCGCCACACGGGCCGAGCCCACCGACCAGCCTCGCGACATCTATTTGTCGGAGAGCGAAGCTCAGTTTATGTCTATGTACCGCTCTGCGGTCGGCCGACCGAAACCACTCGATCTCAAACTAGCGGAAGAGTTCCTACTGCTGGAGGGCATTGAGGGGGAGGAGTACCCGGCGGACGGGTTACCGTGCGGCCGCGAGTCGCCGCGCGGCCGGCGCCGCTCGCAGGAGCGTCCCTGCGTGCCACCGCCACGGGAAGAGGTGGCCACTGCGGACGGGCAGCCAATCAGCGGCGGCGCCGGCGAGGGTGAGCGGACCGGGCCGGACTGGACGCCTGGACCGGGCCGCAGCCGCAGTCTGTGGAACCTGGCGGCCGCAGTGGACGGCCAGCCGGCGCCCGAGTCGGCCGCTGTCACCTGCGACTGGCAGCGCTCGCGCAACCGCACCGGCGCCTGGCTGCTCAGCAAGAGCGTGCAGGACCTGTGGTCGGAGAACAACATGGACTCACCGCGCCGGCTCGACTACTACAACCAGACGATGGAGTGGCCGGGCAGCGGCGACTACCTGGCCTGCAGCGCCGAGAGGCTGCGCAGTCCGGCGAGCCCCGCCTCCTCCTCCGGCCGGCTGTCGGAGCCGCACTGCGCGCCGACGCGACCCGCGCCGCCGCCGCCGCCGGCCGCGACGCTAAATTTAGACGGCGTCGCGGCCACGTGCGCCGAGCTGAAGTTTGCGCGTCCGTCGGACGTGTGCTCCAGTTGGTTGGTGGCCAGTATGGAGCCGGAGACGAGCGAGCAGAGATCGCTCAACGGACAGGCGTTCTTCGTGGAGCCCTCATCAGCGGCGGGCGGCAGCACCGGCCACCTGAACGGTACCCTCTCCGCAGCGGACGGAGGCGACTCGCGCACAATGAGTGTGAACAACTCCTTCACGGCGCGTGTGCCGGTCAAGGCATACGGAGCCGGTAGTGATGTGGAGGTGTACATAAACCGTGAACAGACGGCCGCGCAGCCGCCGGCGGAGCGCAGCCGTGAGTCGGCAGACGGTGAGGGAGTGACTGTGCGCACCAAGCCGCGCGGAGTGCAATTCAGTCCTATGGTGTCCGAGGTCCAATGGCGTGAGAGCTATCTGGAGGATGAGCCGGACCGGCGCTCGATGAACACCTTCCAACAACAGCAGCAACATCAACAGCATCATCAGCAGCAACAGCAGGAGGGCGGAAGCCAGCAGGCCCCGACCACCCACACCGCGCCGTCGTCAGCCGTGGAGACAGGTAATCAGACGGCGCGCCCGAGGGCAGCCCGCTCTCCGCCGCCGGCACCTCCGCCCCGTCAGACACACCCCACCGCTCCTGAGCCGCCGCAGCGCACCAGCGGGTCCACTGACCGGCTCTCTGTGACAGAGTACGGCGGCGCGGCCGTGCTGCGGCCTGTGCGGCCTCCCACTGTGCCCGTGGTAGCCCCGCGCAGCTCTGCCAGCCTTCCGGGCCGCGGAACGGACAGCGGTGTTCATTCTGACACTGCTGCTAAATCTGCCACCGCTGAGCCGATCCGTGGCCGGGCGAATGGAGGCCAGGCCTCGCCTCTGACAGTGAGGATGCAAGAGAACAAGGCTGAAAAGGGCGAGAAGCCGGAGAAGCCGCCGAAGTCGTCGGTGCTGCAGCGACTCGGTCTGGGCCGTCTGTCCGGCAGGTCCAAGCCCAAGCCGCCGCCCAAGCCAGAGAACATCAAGCCGACGTCTCGGTCACCACCGGCCTCGCCGCCGCCGCCGGTCCCACCGCCGCAGCCGCTGCAGACCCCAGTCAGTACGAGCGAGACTGAGAGCCGCCGACCGGTCACCTCTACCCCAGTGGTCGGACAGCGAACGGCCTCTCCGGTCCCCGCCCCCGTGGCGTCTCCTGTGGTGGGTCATGCTCAGGGAACACCCGTGTCGGTCCCGACAGCGGCACCGGGTCAGGAGAAGGCCAACCTGTCCCCCATCCCGTCGTCAGAGTCGAGTCAGTCTCCTGTCGAGCAGTCGGTGCCCAAATCAGAGTTCCACGCCCCGCCCAGCCCGGCCGTGAGAGCCAAGACTTTGTCTCTGCCGCGAACGGCCGATATCAAGCTGGAGAGCACGCCGGTCGTGTCTGGGTCCGGCGGCGCTGTCAGTTCTACCAGTCCGACGGGCACGCCCAACTCTGCCGGTGTGCCGATCTCGGACCCCTCCAGTGCCGGCCGACCTGCCGCCAAGCCGCCGCTGCCTCCTCAGGCACTGCGCACCCAGACGCAGGCGGCGCGCGCGCGGCTGACCAGCGCGCGGCGCAACTTCTTCCAGCTCGACCAGCAGCGCGTCATCCCGCTGCGCTCGGTACCGGCGCCGCCCATCCCGGACTCGGCACAGCCGCCCGCTACTCGACCCTCCGCCGCCTCCGACATCAAGGACGCGTTCGAGCGGTTCAGGCGGCGGGCGCAGGAGGACCGTGCGCGCCTCGCCAAGAGCACGCCCGACCTCAGCCTGATCGAGTCGGCGACTCGTAGCATAGTGCGGCCGATACCGGCGGCGGCCGCGACGCCATCGTCGGCGGCCGGCCTGTCTATTGATCGCCGCCGCGCCGCCGCCGAGCCGGCCGCCACCAGCCCGCACTCGGTGACACTACAGGAGAAAGGCAATGTGGTCATTCTGCACGCGGACGGCGGCGCGGCCGCCGCGCGGCCCCCCTCCAAGAGTCGCGACCGGTTCGCGCAGCGGCGCGCGGCGGCTCTGGCACGCGCGCGGAGCCGCAGCGTCGGCGTGCTAGAGACGGACATTGACGCGCCTCACCAGGAGACCGATTTGGACGCGATCGTTCTCAGTCTACAGCAGTGTATCGACGAGGCCTCGCCGCCGAAGGAGAAGGCCAAGAGCCTGCTGCACCTGGACCGAGGCGGCATGGAGTTCTCGCTGCCGCGCGGCGCTGACTCGCGCGCCAAGTCCATGGAGTTCCTGCTCGACGACGAGAACAAGACTGCCGTACAGGTGAGTCCCGTGGTGGGGCGGGTGAGTGAGGGGCTGGGTGAGTGAGTGATTGGGTGAGTCGATTAAATTATTCAGTCATTAAGACAGCCAGGCATTCATTCGTAGAGTCAGCAAGCCAGTCATTTATTCATGTAAGCTAGCTGTAAATGGGCAAGTGAGTGAGACAATGAATGCATAGTTGAGCGAGTTAGTGAATAAGTGGGCTGGATAGTGAATGAGTTATTGAGTTGAACGAATTGTTAGCATTTACATTCCATGTGAATTCTTTCACTCTTTGGACAGTCGCGCGCCGTCCCGGACCAGACCACAGACCATCAGGTCTGGCGGTGACAGACCATGATCTACCGATACGACCGATCAATGCCTGGTGGCCGGCCCCCTTATCTACCCCGCGCCGTCCTGGCTTCAGCCCTCGCCCCGGGAAGCCCTCCCGACTCCCCCGCTGCAGACACGGGACACAACCGACAGGCACCCGACACCATCATACGGCTCCCGGGATCGGGGTGGCGGAAATCCCGTGCTTCCGGAGCTCAGAAAGTCAGGCCCGTCTGAACAGATTAGCAGCCGGAACCACCCAGCGTCGTTTTATTACACCTTCCGGTAGCGGATCGATGAGAGGTGTGTGTCTACTAGGTATCCTCATTGAGATGCATGATGCATTCAGGCGGCATGTTTATGATTTAACAATATGGTGATGCATCTTGTCATCAATTACCTTTTTACGAATGCTATAGAAGGTTCGAGACCAATTGGGTATCTGCTCTGCTTGATATTTGCTCACCCCGTTTCGTATGCCATTTTTCGTCTCTCGGTTGGCCAGCGTCGCTCCCCTCCCTCGTCTCGCGGCCATCTGACCATCCCCGTCTCCTCCCCTCCTGTGTTGGGCGCCGTCGGCCGCGCGTGGTGGTGTCTCCGTCGCTGCCGTCCCATCACCGGCCCTGATTGGTGGCGAGGGCAGATGCGGTGGCGAGCGCCATCTGATCGAGACCAGAAGCCAATTCGGCCGGCCAGACGACCCTGGGAGGTCGGAGCGGGGCGGCGAAGGGGAGGGTCGCTCGGCTCGACAGGAGCGCATTAGTGCCGCTGCCCGTTGGCTCTGAGAGCTCCTCACTCTCCGCTGGGACTGCAGCTCGACAGAAGGGGGACGGCTGAGAGCGGCGGACAGAGCTGCAGCTCGCAGCTCCGTGCCGACCGGCGGTGCCATTAATTCGTTAGCCAATCCATTACGGTTTGACCGGCCGAGTGGACCGGAGCCGCGGCGGTCGGTGAGGGTCGGCGCGCCCCATCCAATCACGACCCGGGCCTCTCCGCGCCGCGCCGTCGGCCGCCCGCCCAATTAACCCAGCGCCGGCCGGCCGCCGACCTAGCGACCGCCACTCAACCGGTGGCTTGCATGTCGACCCGCCGTGACCCGGCGCTCTATGACGTCACGGGTCAGCGGGACCGTCTGCCAGAGGGGAGACGTCGGCGCGGCGGGATGTAGACCAGTGGTTCTTCCGGTTGGGTCACGGGTAGTGACCGGTGGGAGGTGGACGCCGAAAATAAGCGGCTGTGATGACAATCAGCGTCTAGCGGCACCTCTGTCAGAGGTCGGTAATTATCATCGGTGGAGAGGCATCGAGGCATGACTCCATCTCATTGATCGCCGCCGGCGGTGACATCCTTGCTCCTCACCTCCGTTTGCTGGAACAGCCGTCTCTCAGGACCTCTGTCTCTCAGGGACATCTGTCTCCTACTCCTGAGACACACACATGTGTTCTGTTCCGGGAACATCTGTCTCCGGGGACGCCTGCCTCTGTCCCCGGGCACACCTTCCTTTCGTTCCGGAGATGCCTGACCCATATTTCGGCACCCATGAACCAGGCCGAGAGGCGCGAAGACTGGGGAGAGATGGTGGACTGGAGGGACGGTCCATATTCTGCGGACCCACACGTTTATTCATCTGCCTGGTGGGCCGAGAGGCATTTGGGCTCGCACTCATTAATTTTTAACCCACACGCTGACTGAGCGCTGGGTGGGCCCTTTGATTCTGGATTCATTGGCTGTTCTTTCATCGCTATTTATCCCCGCCCATCGATTTTTAGCGCTGCTCTTTTATCAGCCATCGTTTCTTTCATTCTTCTTATCTTCCAATCTCCATTGTTCAGGCTGCCTCGCCGCGCTCGCGAACTATCTCGGCCCGACTCCGCCCCGCTCAGTCCTCCTCCCCCACCCCACCCCACTCCGCTGTCAGGGGAGGGGTCAGGGAGGTCGCCAATCACTTCTCTCGGTGCAGCGAGCGAGCGCCTGCCGACGCGCCGTCCTCGAGCTGAGGCGTCGCGCCTATCATGGGGCCTGCACTTGCATCGGTCGCGTCAGTAAACATGGGGAGGGTGGTCGACGCGGGCCGCGGGGCGGGCGGCCGACCCGGCGCGCCGGCAGCTGCAGACGGTCATTCGGCGGCCGACGGGGCCCCCGCGCGGTGACGGAGACGGCGACGGGCAGAGACGGAAGTGGCGACGGGTGACGACAGAGACGACACAGAGACGGTGCAGAGACGGGTGTCAACGGAGACGGAACAGAGACGAGTCGTCATCGCTATTTTGTGGTTGACTTTGGAGGCACTCGAACTTCTCCTGAGTGCCTCGGATTGAGCCTCCTGAGTGTCACTGGAGTGTCACCGAAGTGTCGCCCGAGTGTCGCGCTGCTGTCACACGGCTGTCGCCGATCTGTCGCTAAACTGTCGCTGTGCCGTCGCCCGACACGACCTGGCCGTCACGCCGCTGAGTTGTGCTTAAATTCCCGCTGAGATCCGGCTGAAGACAGATTTGTTACTCTGAGATTAGTGGCGCTCGGCGGACATGAATCGTCCCCCTCTGCCCCGGCGCTCGGCGTCACTGCGTCAGGTAAGGTCACGGGTCGTCAGAGCTGGATCTTGGTGGGTCAAAGTACAGGCAGACACTGCAATTATCGTGCATAAGCATGATAATTGCGTTCCAAGATTGATATACCTAAAGGACTGGATTGACATTCTTTTGACGCGCCCGTAAATCCAAAGTACAAACTAAATAAATTTACGAACGTCCACGTGATGCGCGAAGGGAGCAATCAATATAGCAAAACGTAGGCGGACAATCGGATAGTTCGCCTCTGATTGTGATTCAACCAGCGCTTTTCCGCCTAGTATCCCAATATATATTATATAGGCTTGGGATCGCCAAAATCACATGCTTCGGTCTTAGGTCTAGGGGCACCGTCCGGCAGCGCTGTTGTTTCGTGGTCGAGCTGCGATGTGTTGATCACTGGTCACTGGTCAGTCATCCGCAGTACCTGTGTCGATCAGTCATCCGCGGTGTGTGCCGGCTATCCCACCATATAGCGCTAGTTTCCCTGCCGCCGCTGGCACCCCGGTACACTGCCCGCCTGCGGTAAGTGCCATGGTCTGAGCGTTATTACCACTTTCCCTCCGTCCACCACACACTCTCTCCCTCCACACTCCACACTCCACACCACAGGCTGATATCCACACTCCACATATCCCCGCTCTGTGTGGGATCTTAGACTGCACTGCGGTGCTGCACTGCGGAAAACCATGGGCGTCTGGGACGTGTTACAGCTCCGAGAATGATCGGACCAAATCTGTCTTACATGCCTTTGGGTCTGCTGTCTCCGAGAGAGCCAAAATCTGTGACTAGTGGAATTCAATTTTTAAAGGCCAAGTACGGGAAGTGATTTGTCCGGAGAGGGAAGTCATTTTCTTTTTCGGTGGGTCGGACGAGCGATAGGATCAGGGACGCGCGTCGGATGGGTCGGACGCACCCTGCCGTCCCTGACCCAGCGCCGCCAGTGTTTCACTGACTAGCGGGCGCCCTGCGGGGTTCCGTTTATTCTGCGCGCGATGGAGGTGGCGGATTGTTAACATGACGCCAAGGCCAAGCGCCGCGGGTCGCCGGAATTTGCTGTCTCCGCCGGGGCGCAGCCCACCCCCGGATTACATTTCCGCGCGGTCCGTGTCGCCGCGTCTCGCTGCAGTTCGGCCCGGTCCAGCCGTGTTTGGAGCGCCGCGGCGGGATGTCAGCCCGGCTAACGGGTTCGGTACATCAGGATGACAGGAATAAATCCCTGAATAGCTAGTCGGCACGGGGCGGGCCGCCGCCGCCGGACTCTGGTCCGTTTACGATCTGTCCGCTGGTGATGAAAAGAACGGCTCAGTTATACTTCTAGCGGGAATTTATTGGTCCATAACTGGGACTGTTTTAGTTACCCCATACAGTTTTTACATGCATGATCAGCGATAAATGGCCGCCTCTGTGATGTTATTTTCGTTCCTCAGAACTTAAAAGTTAAATCATCATCACGTATGTATACAGTGGGTTCCGTTTGTGTGGCCGGCCGGAGCGGCGGCTTGCTGGGTGGTTCTGTTGGACCGACAGTACCCAGATAGGCCGTTTGATAACACTGCTCGAGACGCGATAGGGCACCGCCGGCTTAACTGCCTCACCCACGCCGCTATCTCGGACAATCTAAACACAGGAGAGGCGCTCGAGACTCGCCCTGACTCATCGACACCCTTCTGCCAAGACCGCGGAAAAATACTCATAAAATTGCTCCCAATAGCTTAGCGTTTGTGTGACTTAGCTACACAGTTTTCTTTTTTCAGTATCTTTCGAGTAGCTTGTCGATTTACGGGTTCCTGTTCTGCTCAAACAAGTAGACTGGTTGATAGTTTGTTGCTGATGCAGTTAGCCCGAGACGGTCACTCAGACTGCACACCACCAAATTATATTACTAGCACTTGGCTGTGCACTCTGCAGAAGAACGGTTCAATGACACTGTCTAACTGGTTACCACTGGGAACTATCTCAGAGCCGCCGTGTGGCCCACCGAACAGGGTTTCGTCGCAGATGGGCCGCCACCCAACGTGCTTACAGTCCAAATACACGGCCCGATATCTGCGCTCCAGCTGCGCTTTCGTTTCCCACGGTGGCTGCGCGGTTAGTGGTTACTGCGCTGTTTTATCT